CCGTGGTTGCCAGAGAACTGGGGAGAAGGTGTGAGCAACTGAAGCACACAGTGTGTTTCAGAGTGGTGAAACTTCTGTGTGGTGCTGTAGTGGGGGATACTTGATATTATATGTTTGTCAGAACCCAGAGGACTTTATAGCAGGTTGAGTGAACTTTAGTGTGTGAAAGTTCAAACATACTTAGAGGTTGGGGGATTCTCAGATGAACACCGAACGGGACAGGAGAATCTACCTGTTTACAAACTCATGGAGGGGTGAAGGGCTCTGTCCTCAGGGGCTCCTCAGCCAGAGGGAGGGGGACGATGAGACTCCTCCCATGGCTGTGCCTCCTCCCGGCGACCTCTGGCTTTCCCATTACGCATGACTTGGGTTTCTCCAACAAGCAGCATCTCCCCTTGGTGAAAAGAGGCTGTGCCCTTGTGGCAGACAGTGTGGGCTTGGGGCTGGAAGGACCCTGGGACCACACTGCAGTTCTGCCACCCTCCAGGTGGGCAAGCCCAAGGGGCTCTCTCACCCTGTCCAACTCTCATTTTCCTGGTGCATACAACAGAGCGATGTGAGCGGCAGCCTTTGAGCTTGTGGAGGGCTTTGGTGATGTGAGATCTCTGCAGAAATTCTACAAAGGGAACATCCCACTATTCTGAGAGATTTCATTTGCCCACCTCTCCATCCACACATCCTTCCACACATCCATCCACACATCCTTCCACACATCCATCCCTGCATCTACACATCCATCCACCCATCCATCCACACATCCTTCACTGCATCCACACATCCTTCCACACATCCACCCCTGCATCCACCCCTGCATCCACACATCCATCCAAACATCCATCCACACATCCATCCAGCCATCCATCCACACATCCTTCCCTGCATCCACACATCCTTCCACACATCCATCCACACATCCATCCACACGTACATCCACACATCCATCCAAACATCCAACCACACATCCATCCCTGCATCTACACATCCATCCACCCATCCATCCACACTTCCACCTACCCATCCATCCACACATCCACCCCTGCATCCACACATCCATCCACACATCCATTCCTGCATCCACACATCCA